GCGGAGCAGCATGTTACAGCAGCGCTTTACTAATTTAAGTATCATAAATATTGAGAGAGATCTAGCTAATGATATTGAACCTGAAAAAATATTAAATACATTTGCAAGTATTGACAGAAAACTATGTTTGACACTTTAAAATATAATAATATGATAAAAAAAATAAAATGTGTTAAATTTATTTTCTATTAACGGTACCTATGGTTGCAAACAGTAGTATAATGTAAATAATAGTAATATATTATGCTGGGGGTGTGGGGGGCGAAGCCCCCCACGGCTCTGTGAACGATTCATTATGGTAGCACCCCCAAGATATGAACCCTAGTTGCGCCACTGCCTATAGTAACAATCACATCATGGGTTTCATTGTTCAGTTGTCCTTATTAACTAATTTTTAATGATACATATTTGAAGGGCCGTTAGATAAAAGTCTCAGGTGTCTCGGATTCCCGGTGCCTGTTCCAATGGTCAAAATGGTCAAATTTCTACTGTCAAAATGAATAAATTTAAAAAATCAAAATAGTCTTTAGCATAAATATTATTATATTTTTTCTTCTTTGAAATTGTTATGGTCATACCATATTAGTTATATTTATAATTTCATACATTTTAAAGTTTATTTTATTTGTATTTACAGATTCAACACGAAGAATGCACAGACTCCTGTTGGTTCACATGATTCAATTTGAGAAGACAGCAAATAATAATCATTAATTTTATTCATTTAACCTATTAATCCAAGGAAAAAAAAGAGAACAATTTTATTTTATTTTTTTTTTTTCATTTTAATTTTGTGTATTATGTATACATAATTTATTTTTTAATAAATAATTATACTAATAGTTATATTATTTTCATTCATTATAATGATTAGGTACCTATACTAGGTATTTCTAATTTCTTTTTTTGTCATTGAGAGCAATTTATTATATCTCTTGACCACAAAAACTACATCCTATTCCACCAATCATTATAAGCAAATTTTACTATAATACCTATACAATGTTTTATTTTATATGTAGTATATTAATTGTATCTATTAATTAAAAAAAAAAAAAACTATTAACAACCTATTTATATTAAAGAGTTATAATGCAAATGAAGCAAAAAAATATTGGAATTTTATGTGTGATCTAATAGAACTTAAAACAAAATTAATAGTACATCAAATGTGATAAAAAGGTCAGAAAAATATATTTTGTATCATATAAATAATATTAAAAAATGAAATTTTAATATAAATCTTATGTATTATAAACGTTTTTAAAGTATCATTTCATTGCACATAAAATGTTTAAAAAACACTAAATAAGCATTTTTTAAATATTATTTTTGAAATGAAATGTTGGCCATTAAGACATTTTAAAAACGTTTTATAAACACAACTTTTATATTTAATATACATTTTTATAAACATTAAAAAAACATTTCTTTGCTGCTTGGGGTGTAGCGGTATACGCATTCAAATTTAGGAACGAATGTAGCTTACTTCCCAAGTGATTTTTTAGGAATATTTTATTTTGGAAATGTTAGTATTGTTATGCTCAATGTGTTGGTGAAATCAAAATGTCTACACCGTATTATCTACATCGTGAAATTAACTAATTAAAACAATTTTTGTAAAGAAATCCCAAGGGGGGGCTGGGTTATTGCCACATCCCCCCCCCATAAATCCGATACTGTCCTGATATTATACTCTGTATTCTAGGTAGGTATATAAATTATAAATACAAAATACCTAATTAAATATGTTTAGATTTGCACAGACAACCACTTATCCGGGCGTATTAGGCTGCATTGACTGTACACACATAGCCATATTCCCTCCTAATGAACGCGAGGAAGCGTACAAAAACTTTAAAGGGTTTCATTCTTTGAATGTTCAAATGGTATTATAAAATATTAAATTACTTAATATTTTATATTTGTTTACATTCATTTTTTATATTTTAAAGGTGTGTGATTCTGAGATGCGAATTTTAAACGTTCTTGCATTCCCTGGTAGTGTGCACGATCAGTTTATATTTACATCTAGTGCTTTAAGTACAGAAATGGAGAGATTACACACCAATAGAATTGGACAGTTTTATCTTTTAGGTAGGTATCTTATGACGAATAATTAGAATTATTATCAAATTAATATTTATAGCCCAGTGGCGTGCCGAACTGACAAGCAGACCTGAGGCAAACTATACAATTTGATCCCCCTCCCCACCACCAACAGTTTTTTCACTATTTTTTTTTATTATTTAAAATAATAAATATTATTAAGTTTTTTTAGGTATAAGTTGCACATCTATACTAGCACACCCTCCCACCTACCAGAATTTTCCCTGAGGCAATTGCCTCAAAAAATTACTATTCAGCACGCCTCTGTTATAGCCTACCTATATACTATAGGCATGATATTATACTCATAATTGTCTAGGTGATTCTGGTTATGCCTCTGAGCCGTATATGTTGATTCCAATATTACACGCAAATGAAGGGAGTCCTGAATACAGGTATACAAAGAACCACTGTTTGGTCAGAAATAGCATAGAAAGGGTATTTGGAGTTCTAAAAGGAAGGTATGTAAATATTTGTATTTATTAATATTAAAAATATCATAATATTGTGAGTAGGTACCTCCATTTTTCTGAACAGGTGGCGGTGTCTAAAAAAAGATCGTGTATTACACTATAAACCTCAAAAAGCGGGAGTTATTATAAATTGTTGTGCAATTTTACATAATATGGCAATACAGGAGTATACTTAAATTATATTTTTTTGTTTAATTTGGAATTTGACATGGTTAATTTTTTACTTTTCAGAATACGCGAAGAGTATTTACATTACAATGTGGATGACAATATATATAATGAAAATCAACTGGCAGGGCATGACGGACAAAATATTCAAGATATTCAAGATAGACAGGGTGGAAGAGTTGTAAGACAACAAATTGTGCAACAATATTTTAATTAAATTATAATACATTACACTTTTTTTCCTATATCGAATATCAATATTTCTTTAATTTTGTTGGTATACATTTTTGCTATCTCTTTATAAATTATAATTATTATTAATTATTTTTTCTTAAAATTATATGTTTCTTTAATCAATAAAATAAATTACAAAATAAATATATACTTACCAAAAGGCTATAATTATTGTAATTCATTGTGGAATAGATTTCTAAAACTGTAAGTGCAATATGTAAATATTGCAATACACGGTTACCTACCTGAACATCAATTTTCATTAATTATTTCATACTACCTACCGTACAGTTATAACTTATAAGTAAGGTAAGTAGGTTAGGTTAGGAAGTGATACATTAAAATGATATGTCTTAACCAGGCGCGGATACAAGGGGGGGCCATGGGAGCAATGGCCCCCCCCAAATCTAAAAAAAAAAGATGAGGCCGGTGAAAAAAATAATAACATTGATAATAGAATAGATCGAATTATTCTTATTAAATATTTCTATATTAGATTATAATGTTTCGTAAAATTGATATTGGTTTTCGGACAATTCTATTTATAGAATTTTTCTGTAATTTCTAATTGTGTCGGCGACCGGCGTGGCGTAGGCTAACGATGCCGTGACCGTTCACGTTATCGTCAGAATCGCAGATATTACTTTTACCATTAATTCTATTGCTACAATATTGAATATTATATAACATTATCATTTTTCTACGGGATGCGGACAGCGTTCAACGCACTGCGAGAAAACGAGCGTATTTAAAAATGGTAAGTAATCTGTATTTTGAATTTTAATACACTGCCACTGATTTGATTATTTGAATTAAAAACCATATTTTGTACATTATATTTTGTACAATACTCAAAATGTCGTTTAAATAACATGAAATAAAAAAAATAATATGTAATATTTCGTCCTTTTTAATATTTTAATAAATTTACTACATATTTTATTTATACGACAGACATTTTTTACTTCATATTGTCATCATAAGATGATTTTAAAACTATTACATTTTCTTTAATTTCGTAGGCCTCAACTACTGATAAAAAACGTCCTTCTTCAAAAATTAGTTCATTTTTCAATCCTATTTCAAAAAAAATCACAGTTGAAAGCAGTATACCTGAAGAAAATATTTCAGACAATTCAGTAAAAGATCTTAATTCGAACATTGATTAGCATCTTCTAGTCATGATTTTCATCTTCATACTAATGACATAGGAGATTATATTGAAAAAAATATTGACGATTATACGAAGAGTGAACTTTTAATAAATCATTGGGTACCACCGACAAACTACGTATTTGTTGAAAAATTAATTGAACGTTTCTCCAAAAGCAAAAGAAAAATTCCATTTGCAATTTGAAAACCATAAGTCATAAGAAAATTAAGCTGATTTTAAGTTGTACATTTGATTAGAATTTATCGTAAATTATTAACTATAGTAAAATTTAGTTTAAATGTAGAAAAAGTAATGTAATTAAATATTTTATAACCAATAAAGTAAGATTGAGTAACCTAAATATTTCAAAAAAAAAATGTTTGTTTAATTATTTTTTGGTCTTTTTAAAGGTAACCTAATCATCATTATCCTGATGTCGAACAATATTAACATATTAAACCCTGATAAACTTTATTAATAATATTTGATGGCCCCCCCCATAAATCTGTTCTGGATCCGCGCCTGGTCTTAACACCATACATTTTTAAATAGTGAACACAGTTTTCGTGCATTAATAATTAAACAGCAAAAACATGAGAAAAAATAAAAAACAAAATAAATATGTACTTACCTCGGTACTTACCTAAAGGCTGTAACTATTGTAATTAATGGTGGAATAGATTTTTATAACTCTAAGTGCAATGTTTAAATATAACTTACAATTATAACTCATAAGTCATCCAGAAGTGATACATTAAAATTATATGTCCCAACACCATACATATATAATCCATGCATTAATCTTAAGCAAAAAAAAAAAGCACAAGTACGAATAAACAATAAGTCAAGCAACCAAAAACTTATTAAACAGTTAGCCAATAAAACACAAAATAATCTTTTAAGCCTTTATTAATAGCATTATTAGCCAATTGTGCAGATATTACTGTAAGCGCGTTAGTTAACTTTGCAATGTTATCACTCATGCTGGTGATTGCATGCACAACAGACCCCATCTGCTCTGTATTTTCACGAATAGCTTCAGTCATAGTCTTGAAAAAAAAAATTAAATGTTTAATACAACATAGTATATTATTCTTGCTATTAATTATGTTTAGCTTGTAAATTAGGTAGGATAACAAGCAGCAACCAGTAAGTAAAATTTAAATTTACTATTGAAGTACTATTATGATTTGATAATTTGTTTCAAAATTATATTTTAAAAAGGGCCCTGTTAGAAGTGGTATGAAGGCATTTTACTCTTCAAATGAGATACTTCTAGATCGATCATTGTAAGATATTATGTGTTGAATTTGAATTCAATAAATCATTAATATGAAGACTGCAAATAAGCCTTACTACCCACTGGCTACCAATATAAAATAAAATTATTTTACACTTAAAAAATAATTTAACATACATTGAATGAATAACTTACCATACATTGAATGAATATTGAATAACTTACCATACATTGAATGAATAACTTACCATCGATAAACTTAAACTTACTTTTAGAGTACTATTTGTTTCTTCCACAAGATTTTTATAGGTATCACCTTTGGATGGTTTTACTTTCGGTGTCAGTGGAGTGGTTAATTGTGAAAGGGTGATATTTTCATCTCTATTGTCAAACGTATTACCTTTATAATTTAAAATAACTGTGTCAGCAGCTATTTCCTAAAAAAATATATATAATATGAATAATAAATATTTATATAAGATAAAATAAAATATAGTTACTTCTAAATCCTCTATCCCTTCATTTACATAAATTTCTTCAGCCATAACAACTTCACCAAAATCTCCTTCTCCTTCATCCACAGTATTTGAACACTAAAAATATAGTAGGTATCAAATATTTTATATAAATTCTATTCAGAAGTTACTTAAAATAATATCCTTTTATTTTTAAAGCATTATTAAATAAAAATTATATTTCTAACAATAATTTATGACATTTGCAAGAAATGTATAGGTCTGACTTAGCACTTTTTAAGATAGGTTAAACTTTTAGGTAGGTAATAAATACAGAACAAATATGTTAATAATTAACATTCATTTGAACATAGCTGAACTTAATCAACAATATTTAAATTGCATTATTAAAGACATTTAGCAGGTAATAAATGAAGCATTAATTAAAGAATATTTGCATACCTCACCAAATCCATTCTCTCCTACCCCAATACCAACTGAAGTTTCAGTACCAATTATTGATAAAATTAGTTGATGACGGTCATTGGGTTCAGGGGGTTTATTAGAAGATGAATTCCCAGTCTGGCTCAAATACTTATTCCAAGCACTATTAACTTTACGAGCCATACATTTTTCATTACGCCAACACTGGAAATAATAAAATGTACAGGTATTTACTATTTTCTATTATTTTTGAACTTCAAATATTCTAATGCTTCATAGGTCTCGCTACACGTTCAGCATATAAGTGTGATAGACACATAATAAAGAAAAACATTCAAGATAGGTAATTACTTTACATTAAGTAATGCTAGTATATGGTAAAATATTTTAATTATACTAATATCTACTTGTAATATTGTAGTCATAATAAATAATGTAAAAATAAAAACATGATTATTTTATTGTTGAATATAAACATGGGTGAAGTTGGGTGGCCAAAAATAGGTGAATATTATAATATAATATTATTATTTTTAGCTAACTATATTAAAAAACTAATCAAGAAAATAAATAGTTGTTAGCAATTGCCAATTGGTAATGACTAATGATAAATACTAAACATACTATACCTACTTAGATATTATAAAAAACAGGATATAGTATAGGAATTTAATATTACTTTTTTCCACTGCTCTACTGTCTTAGGAGGTCCCATTTCATTGAGATTGTCCGCTAATTCTGCCCACTCGACGTCCATTTGCCTTTTTCCATTATGAGGATCTTTGAATTTTCCTGCGGCAAATTTTGGTTCATTACTCATGTAATTAATGAGTGCAGCTATCTGATCGGACCCTCTTTTTTTCTTTTTGTCCACGCTTACAAATGAAAACAAATTCAAATTATAGAAAGTTATATTGGTATAGTTACTAATTTCTGAACATTAACTGTGAAAACTACTATATTATATCATAATAAACTTACTTTTTTGAAGACATACTTTATTTTTGAATATCCTCACAAAACAAAACAAAACTAAAACAACAACACAAATGGCTCTAAGCCTTTAATAATTAAAATCAAATACTGTATAAAATATAAATATTATATTAATTATAAATATAAAATATCATAATCATATAGTATTTTATGTAGGTATACCCAAATACTGAAATACCTATGTAGTATGTACCTACTGTCCTACTATATAGAAAGGCAATACGGCATTATCAGCACTCGGCATTTCAATTATCAAGATAATTATGCTTACAATTTATTATCTATTATAATAATTACGGTTAATTATATTGGCAACATTGTAAAATATACAATAATACCGTATTCTAATTAAGTCATTTAATATTTTAGTCACTTGTACACTTTTAGTCTTTGAATATTAAGTCGTCTAAGTTATCAGCTTACGGAATCGGAAAAATAAAAAGACGCCAAATGTTGGGTGACTTAAAAATGCCATGACTGAATAAATTTTAGTTTTAGTCATGGTATAGAGAATCGCCCTACTGGTCTATTTTTATTATACGTCTATGATCGTAGCTACCTATCTGCACTTCACAAACCGCCACCACGGGCTACGAGCGCGACATCGCCAACTCTCCCACCACGCCACAAGGCACAAGGCGGGACGGGGAGGCAAGTCTCGTAAGACGAGTCGGTGGCCGCCTCCAGCAGCTCTTTCATTTTCTGACCACCGCCACGGCCTGACTCGTTTTCGTTTTTCTTCAACGCACCAACGCGATTCCGTCAAATCACGTTCCCCGTTGGTCACCCGACCACGGTTCCTTTTTTGTATAACGTCTTACGAAACGCCACACGGCACTTTCAATCCGCTTCACTTTTAAACGCGATTCGTCGAACACGTTCCTCGTACCAGACCGTTGTTTGTCACCCGACCACGGGTTCATTCTGTATAGGTACTTCTATTAACCGCCACCCGGCACCCTCATCATAAATAAACCGGTGTTCACCATTATTTATTGACTACCTTAAGTTGTGCGGGTTGTGCAGAGTGCATCAAAACTACCACCGACAACGACCGGCCTACCGTAGCCGCGTCAATGGGTTAATGGAAAAGATATAGTTGTAATAATATGACTGTTGTGTTGAATTTATGCGAAGAAAATAATTATATGATGCCATATTATTTACTGGAAATACTTCTAACCATTTTTTGATTTCATCAACTAAAATAAAAAAGTATTTATTTTGGGAAGGTCCAAGAAAATCACAATGCACTCTAGTGTGACACTATTAGCTCGTTGCCAGTTTTTCAAATTTTTCGCAATTCTATAAAATTTGAAAATTAAATTTTACATTTTAGTTGTCACCTTAAGCATAATACTTTTCTAATAATCTACTTCCTGATACCTATTTATGATGAGGAGGGGGCAGATAGGTAGTATTATATCAATGTTAAAAAAAAATACTTCACTGGATTAATTCTCAGGCCTTGTAGAATTGTCTGATTTTGATAACTATTTTTTAATCTGAAAGAATACTTCCTACAGGCAGCATCAATCTCAGATTTTTATATTATTTCATATAATGGTATAACATAATTTATAAAAAAAACTGCTAAAAATTGTACTATTTTAAAGATATATTATAAAGTATGAGATTAAACTATTGAAAAACGGAGTTCGATGGGGCCTGTAGAATATTACCCTCTATTAATTAAAAAAATAAATTATCAAATATTGATTCTACAGAACATGATCATTATTCCCTTAGGGCGTATTTTTGTGTACACAATAACTTGGCATTGGGCGCCTTAACCAATTTATGTTAGGTTAGGTTAGGCCATAGATTAAATTATGAAACAATGTTTATGGTGAATAAGGCAATAACATTTACAAGAACTATATAATATTATACATATTTATTGATAATTATAAGATTATCATTAAAATTTTAACATGATAACTAGTAGATATTATTGTAGTTTTATCTAGAAAAAAAAATTTACACTCTATTCGGAGTTTGTTTCTGTCCCATACTTTGACAGTAACATTATTTTCATACTGAATCTCCTTTCCATGTTTCTCATTTTTTTTTCATGGTATTCATCGGAGTTTTCAAGGTCTAGTTTCATCTTACGATTTTCTTCCTCTAATAAATCTTTTTCGTTCGTTATCTGTTTTAATCGCACTTTAATACTCTGTAATTCTCTGTTAAAGCTATTTAATTGTCTTTTACAATTGTTATAACTTTTATTTTCCCTTTCCAAGTATTCATTTCTTTTTAGGAGTACTTGAGATGAGTCATTCAGCGATTTTGTTTTATTTTCAATAATCGACTTACGTTTTTGTAAAAAATGATTATTTTCAGCAATATACTCCAATTTTTGTTGCAACGATTCAGACAAATCCAAAAATTGGTCTAATTTGTCTTCATATTCAACTTTTAATTCTTCGATTTCTTTATTGTACGTATCCATCAATATACGTGTATTATCATTATGTAGGGACCTAACTGATCGTAACTCTAGAATATGTTTTTTTTGAACAAAGCGAATCGCGTATTTTTGTTCTTCATCTATTTCGGCTAAATAATGAGCTGCAGTACATTTTATCACATTGGCTCTGTCATTTAAACGTTTAACACTTTGGACTGCCAGATTTGTTTTTTCGTTTGTGTGTTGTGCACTTTGTTTTTTCAAATCATCCCGAAGCGAATGATTCAGTAAAAATAAGTCATTGTTATGATTTTCCCACTTTAAATCTGTTGCTTTTGTGGCTAATTCATTTTCCAAACGTTTGACGTCCAAATTGTAGGTGTTTTGATAAGTAAACTCTTCTCGTTGCATACGTAATTGTTTTTCAAGACCCTGTATTAAAATTGCATCATCTATCGCTTTTTTTTCCATTTTAGTCATCTCTAATTGAAGTTTATTGACAGATTTCTGTGCGACTTTCATAGCTATATTTGCCTGATTTCGATCTACTTGTAACAATGATATTTCTTTGTCTTTTTGCTTAAGCATAGTAACACATTTTTTTGAGTACTCCAATAGCTTACTAGGGCTGAGTTCCGTTATATTAACTTCATCCAATTTCATTTTTAAATTTGAAACAAAGACGATTTTAAAAATGTTATAAGTTTTGTATATTAATAAAATAACTAAATAATTTTAATTATGAGAAGGTTACGTAGTAACCATAATAACAAATTAAAATATATTTTTTTTACGTTATTCTAATTTTTCAAATACTAATATATTTAACACACATGGCCACTGTTGCGTATACGATATTTGAAAACAAACAACTTGCTGAGACACTTTAGAAGAAGAAAATAAAAAAAAACAGTTATTAAAGCAAAGGATGCTATTAGCTGAGTCGATGTCAGAAAAGTATTTGGATAGTAAATATTCTGAAAAAATTACTGCTGCTGCATCTCTATTTAGCAGATTGCAGTTAAGAGGATCTCACACCCGTACATGTTGTCTCCGTCTTACAAATGTGTACAACTAGCAAAAACTGTTTTGCGTGGGACAACTTTATCTTTCTGTGTTTTTAGTAGTGGCTCCAAAATTTCTGAACATATAGAGTGGAAAATTATCCATGCAACATATTTTAGATGACATAAATACAATAAAAGTTATTTGCTTCTAAACATTTTGTTTTTTTAATTTGCTTTTAAAAAAATGATTGGATAATTCGATTCAAAAAAAAAGCACACTGTTGCACAGATGAAGTGTTGTGAAAATTTGGTAGTTCTACAACAAATATGGTGATAGAAAAGTTGTCCCGCGCAAAATAGTTTTTGCTATGTTGTACATTTGTAAGACGGAGACAACACATGCGGGTGTGACATCCTCTTAAGAAAAACTATAAAAAAAAAAAAATAAGGAGATTCATAATAGATGAGAAAATACTTAGCTTATCATTATTCAGACGTAGCCCAAAATGAGATTATGAATTTTTAAAAAAGTGATCTTACACATTTTCAGCAATACATCGTTATTCACGTATTATAATATAACTTTTATTACTTTAATGTACGCCTATTTAGTACTATAAATTAAAATAATACCTACCAGATCCCAGACACCAGAAGTCTTCATAGAACTATAAATTATAATATAATAATATAGTTTCACTAATCAAGATTTTAGGTACATGAGTTGGTACTGATTAATAAGTTACATATTAAAATTATTTCAGAGGAAGAAATAGATAGAATGGCTTTTTTAGACTTGACTGAATCAATGGTAGCTAGACTGATTCCAAAAATGGGACCACAGTCCAAATTCTTGAAATTTCTCCGGACGTTAAGAGAAGAAATCCAGAGAGATAAAGTAGGTTACTTATTTAGTATTATTTATTATTATACCTTCCATTAATTCTTAGGTACTTTAGGATAGTTGATCAAATAGATTAATGAAAGTATTATTATACAAGTAGACATTCTCAAACTATTCGTTACTAGGAAATAGCATCAACAGAATCTAGTATCAGTGCATCTGGTGTATCCGGCTCTTTGAATTTAATCGACATCGGTAATATTGCAAACTTTGAAATTCTTACTACACAAGAGAATTTTAACAGCTTAGCTGCTGAAGAAATACTACCTACCACAAATTTAAATTTAAGTAGAATAATTATCTTGTTTATTACCTACCTATATCAATTTACCTATATTATCCATCCTTATTGATTCCTTATAGGATTATCTACCTTTATAAAAAAAAAATGTCAATGAGAAAGTCAAATTAAATTTTTATGAGCGTTTGAAATTCAAATTTTTACAACATTGGATATTTACTCGATTTCTCGTGTAGCGATTTCCTTATTTTATTGTAATTCAAAAACGAATAACTGTAGGTAAATGAACATTTCACTGAATATTTATATTAGCATTTCCCATACACCATACAATTTTGAAAATATTTTGACTCTTTTTGAGCTGTTTACGGACATTTTCAGTTTCTAATTTTTTTAGTTTTTTATTCTATAAATATCAATAAATTTTTATCTGTTGGCCCAAAAAGTGTAAAAATTTAATACAATTCTCCTGATATATTGTTACAGTATCAGTTGAAAAATATTAAAAATACATAATCACAATTTTTATAAGATTTATCAAATTTAAAATTGAATAATTATTTTGTAGTTAAAAATTTATAAAATGTTCAACTTTTATATCTAAGGATTGAAAATTGAAAACAAGATTCCACGTAAGTAGTTAATTTTGTTAGGGTGAAGTGGGGCAACTGCGACCCATAATTTTAAAATCTTACTGGTTATGTTTCTGAGTTCAATATTTCTGTTCTACTAAAACAGTTGGTTGTCAACTTATTAAAAAAATAGTTAGCTATTCGAATATACTATTGAAATTTGTCTAACAATCATAGTTTTCGAGTTTTTGATTTTTTTTTTTAAAAAGAATTGGCCGCACTTACCCCATACGCGGGGAAAGTGCAAAATCATATCACCAAAAATACATAAAATGTTATGATTTTAGGCGCTGCAACTGCCTCAAACTAAATTTTACTACCAACAATTTATTTTTTGAATGGAAGAAATATCTTAAATTCTGTTCAAATGACAATACTTTCAATAATTTTAAAAATATTTTTAGTACATTTTTAATAAATATTAAAAAGAAAGAAATATTTTATATAACTTCAACATTTTATATTTCCTTTAATGCAAACTAATTACTTTTATACTCAGACTTTTGAGTTGACAGGTAAATGTTATAAAACTAAAATAAAAAAAAAAGCGCTCTCCTGTAAAGTAGGTTACAAGTGGGTCACTGTATAGTGGATAGTATTAAATTTGAATTCAATAATATAATATCATTGTATAAGAAAAACGATTCTGAGCGGAGACGGTATGTCAGTCTAGGTATAAGACATTATATATTTATCTCTGCCTCATCGGGAGCATCTTTCTTCAAACATTTAGAATAATCAGTTGCTTAAGAATCCCATGGATATAACCTAGTTGTTCTAAACCCATTTTGAATAGTTTTTTTGGTCAGTCGATTATTGATAACCTTATTTAGTAATGGAGCAAAATCATGTTTGGTTAATGGGTCTTGTGTTGTCATGCACCACTCATGTACTTCTTTGGCCCACTCTTTTTTCAAAGGTCCAAACATTGCTACATCTAATGGTTGTTTGTATATGTGTAGAGTTTGGGTAGAATGCTACAATATGTATACCATTTTCTCTACAAAACATACTTAAACAGTATGTTTAATGAGAAACGTGCCCATCTAAAAAGAGTACAACTGGTAATTGGACTTTGGTTTTAATTAACCAGGGATGAAACACATTAGCTACGTACTCAAAAAAGGTTTCACCAGTAATCCACCCTTTATCACTGACAGCCATGGCAAAATGTTCAGGCATTGATTTTGCAATGCCTTTTGGCATGCGTTTACCAGCAAATACTAACATAGTTGGTGCAATGGAACCATCCGCAGATACATTTAATAGTGCTGTTATTTGTTGTTTGTCGTTATTTCCACACACCTCATAAACATTTTTCTCACCCCTTATGCTTAACACTTTTTCACCCTTGGGTGAAAAAATCGGAGTTAAAAATGTGAGAAGGGTCGTCAAGTATATCTGTAATGTTGTTTTCACTAAAAAAGGAATAAACAGTATCAAACCAGTGTTCAATTTGGGTTTGAGTGACTTGGCTCCTAGATTTGGTCACTTTCTCAACAGTTCGCTTGGCCACCTAGGTTGACGTCTCATAAACAGCTTAAGCCATTTTTTGGATGGATTTCCACCATTAAACAAATGGTCAATACCCATTTTTTTTGGCTATCTTTCCAACAGACACCAATAAATTTCTACTAACAATGGCAAAACTGTTGAAATATACAATTAATATTAGTATTCAAACCATGTAAACACACGTGCGTGTACAATGTCGTTTTCTAATAGATACTTATGCAGTTACGATATAGCTGTGTAACACCTTTACTATCGCTTTCTATATTATATACGGATATGGGATGGCCTCGATTGTTCATATAAATAGGGCCTTTGATGTATGTAATAAACACTTGCACAGGCGTCGTTGTACAGAGCGTATACGATGTGTGTGTACTGTCACAGTTTAATTGTCCAGTTATACGTTATTATATATTATACTTATACATAATCATATTGTCGTGTTATTACTTATTATATTAATGCTAACATCATTAGTCCGTCAAGCTTCACTTTCAACAAGTTATGGGCCCAGTCAATAACCAAGACATACAGTCTAGTGGATTCGTGATCGAAGTATTTTTATATTTGTATTAACGCAGAAAACTACAACCAGTCGGAGATATCCTGGATTTCGGAAAACGGCGGAACAGTGTACATAGGTAAAGTTTTGTTATAAATTGTTATACAGGTCAAGTATACGGGAAATCATCGGTCATGGAAGACACGGTGAAGATAACAAAATTATGTGCGGAAAACTGGTCGTTATGGAAATTCCAGATGAAGGTCATTCTAAATGCCTTGGAAGTAGGTGAGATAGTTTCAGGTGAATGGACGAAACCAAGTCTACCTATAAAAAAGTCGGCAGGAGAGACCGACGAAGATGCCAAAGCACGTTAGCAAAGGCATACAAACGCTTGGCAAAAAGCGGACGGTAAATGTCAGAAAATAATAGTTACCTCAGTGGACGATGGTCCAGTACAATATTTGATTAACTGTGAGACTGCATTGGAAATGTGGGAGAAACTGCTGAGTATTTACGAGCAGAAGTCTGAGGCAAGTATACATTTGCTTCAACAACAATTTTTCAGTTATTCAAAGGAGTCGACAGATGACATATCGACGCATATTTCTAAATTGGTCAATTTAGGAAGGAAACTGTGAGTAGCGGGTGAACCAGTTACGGATAACATGGTTATGACAAAAATACTAATGACATTACCAAAGGAATATAATCATTTTTACAGTGCTTGGGATTCAGTCCCAACGGGAAGTAAAAATATAAATAATTTAACTAGTCGGTTGTTGATTGAAGAATCACGGGTTATCCAGATCAAAGGTGAAGTTGGTGAACAAGAGAAATCGAGTGCATTTCCAGCCAAATT